GAATTACTAAATCTGAGGGGGTGCAGAGCTCAGACTCCTGGTAAATCATATGTGATGCCCTTAGTCACAGGTCATTCCTCTGTTCAAATCAGCTAGCTAGTACAGAAAGAGAACATCTCTTCCTAGGAAGATGGCAATCTGCTTTCTAACTCCAATAAACAAACCTTTCCAACAAGATGCTTTTTCTTTGTGTTTCTAATAGTGTCTGATGTAGTTCAAAACTTAAATAGCAGTAAAATTTAGTTTAAAATTTAAACAGTACAAAATAATTGTAGGCAAATCAACCATAAACTGTGCCTATTATTATATGATCTTAAGGTTTCAGATATAAAGTTAACCAAAATGCTCTCATTATTGCCACTTGCAGAAAAGTAAACACAGAGTTCAAATAGTTTGTGAGGGTCGGAATTAAGATTCAGCCTCAGCTATGTGGATCTCATGTGTGCTGCCTTCTACGGATCGTTGAACTCACTTCCACCTCATTACCTTGGCGATAGTGGTCACAGTTTTCACACACACACACACACACACACACACACACACACACACACACACACACACACTGCTTACTGGAATTCCAATATGAATAGGCTGAGTTCTGGAGCAGGTGAGCTATTAAGCTCCTAAGTCTGTGTATGTGTGTATGTGTTGATGATCGAAGACAGTGTAATTGTATTCTTTTGTTTCTCTGCTCAGTGCCTGGTTGAGCCCGAGACGGTTCGAGATCACAGAGATGAATGGTGAGGTTTCCTGGAAGTTAGCTTGCTTTTCTAAAGACAGATCCCAATTAAACTGCCAACACTACCTCTCCAGGGATTTTTCTCTTACCTGGGTAAAGTTGAACAAGAAGAATGGGCCCAGCAACAATTAAGGAAAAGATTCTCATGTCTCTAGGCATCAGTGGAGAGGAGATGAAGGAGGTACAGTCATGGAGCCTGGCTCCTTTATTGAGAGAATAGAGTAAGACTGATTCTACTGCTCAGAAACAGCCTTAAGAACTGTTTTCCATGCCCCACTGAGTAACATGTGAGCCAGTGGATCAGGTTTTTGTCTAAGTCTTTATTAGGCGGCAAGGCCGAGAAAGAACCCTGCCTTGTTGCCTGGAATATTCTATTCTCTTTCCACTTAGGCTTCCCCCAGTTCCTTTCATGTTCCATCTCAAGTGTCCACATTTCCACAAAATCTACAACCATTTCCTCTTTTCCTCCTGCCTTAAAGTTTGTGCATAATGTACTCTTCTGTAAGTTTTATACACTGGTTGTTGATTAATTGATTGATACCTGGTATAGTGGCTTTTAAAATGTGAAGTCTAGAATAAATTAGATATCCCAATAGATATTAAACTTCATAGAAGAAAGCTCAAATTTGATTGATTTTTCTCCATTAGGTTCTTACATTAGTGTTGTTTAGTTTTCTCATGGGAAGCTACTGCTTAGGGGGATTCATGAATAAACAAACCATTAAATGCAAATTGTTGTTAAATCTTTCAGGCTTATGCATATGTAAGGCTGTGAAGATAGCATAATTCTTAATATTTCTTCCATAATTATTCGTGGTGGAAAAGCCATATGTCTTTGTACTACACAGATGGCTTTGATTTTATCCTAAAAGCAAAGGAGCCACTGTGGAGTTGTGTGCAGGATAGTTATCTGGAAGAATAAAAATTAACATCCCCAACAGAGTGATTAACATCAATTCTCACACTACTAATAGTAAATTAATTTCTGGGAAATGCAGAGTTGCCGAAAGGATTCGACAGATGTAATGAAGTCGGGTATACTTTGGAGAAAAGGAAATGTCTAGTGAAGGAATGAAGTATGGTGAGTTAACTGTGATTTTTTAATGTGGTAGTCTTGGCCCTCACTGTGTGATAATGATGGAACCTTTAAAATTAGGGTTTAAAATCCCGCTGTGGTGGCACAGGAAATGGACACAGAGAGTTTCAGGCCAGCTTGGGCTACAGAGTACCAGCCAAACTGGACCTTATCCTGAGACTCTGTCTCAACAAAACAAAAGTAAAACCAAGAAATATGTGCAGCTTAGTGTAAGTTAATTAGGTCACTGGGGACACTGTCCTTAGGAGGAGTTAACATGGTTCTTATGGGGACTCTGACTGTTCCCAGAGAGTTTATTATGAAATAATAAAAATGCCCCCTCCTTCCCTCCCTGCTCTCTGGCTCCTTGAGGCACAGCATGTCTTTTGCTCTCATCCACGCTCCTCTTCCAGGATGCCATCACCATGATTTGACACAGCCTGGGAGACCTTCTATAGAGTTGTGTACATGAGGTTACCTGATCTTGGACTTCAGCCTGTGAGTAAAATAAACTCTTGTTTATAAAGTACCTAGCTCAGTTGTTGTGTGATAAAGAAGAGACTAATCCAAGGACTCTCTTCTCACCATTCCCCCACACCTACTCTCAGGTGGTGACCCTGTTCCATGCTTTATGAGAGACAAATCCAGACAAGGAGGTGCTTACAGCTCACATCACCCCCTTCAGGCTCAGAAACCTCAGGCTCAGAGGCTCTGCCCTCCTTTTGTGTACCTTCTCCAGGATCCAGGGTCTCCTCTTGACCCCAGGTGTCACTTCCTTTCCATTTCCTGGGTAAGACTGGTGTCAGTGAAGTGACAATAAGTGCTTCGCATCCCATCCGCAAAGCAGGGGAGGTGTCTTGAGAGTGAGATTCCTTTCCACTGAAGGGCCCAGGGTGGAAAAGCATGTGTGAAAGCCCTTCTGTGAAGGGGTCACTTAGGAAAACTTTCTCCAGGTTCAGCTGGGCAAGCTCTCAGAGCTTTTGCGGCCATCGTCCAAGAGGGCCTAGTGACTTCTCAAGGTGACAGCAGACCTGTGTCATCTCTGCCAGCCTGGTTTTGTTGGTTTGCCAAAAGCAAGACTAATGGGGATGTGGAGACTTCTGCCAAGGTTCCAGAGAAAAGCCTGGGAGGCACAGACTGAATTCCCTGCAAAGAGTCCTAGAGCAGGCTTTGTACAAAGCTCTGGGAGTGAAGCTGAGACCCAGGGTATTAGAAATACCAAGAATGTTGGAACGCTGCCCCAGAGAAGCTGCACTCGTCTAAAAGAAGCTGTACGTGCTGCAGGAGACAGACAAGGGCTTCCCAGACCCTCTGGAGTTCACATCATGTCACTCCGTGCCCCAGATGCCAGGCTGGATTTTGGTCTGTGTTTGGGCCAGTTCTTCCTTGCTGTCTGCACGATCCTTTTGGGATAGAAATGTTTTCTCTGTGACATTGTCTATTGGAAGCATGTCACTTGATTTTTTTTTTTCCTTCATGTTTACAGATGTTCACAGCTGAGAGTTTTCATTGGATCTCAGAAAAGAGAGGACATTAGAGTTTTAAGTAGCATCACTTTTCCCTTCATGTATTTTAGGGTTCTGCTGTTAGGTGTGTATTATGTTTTTTATATGGTATCTCATCTGTTGGATTTACACTTCGGTCATAAAACATCGTTGTCTCTAGTAACAGGTTTGTTTGTTGTTGTGGTTTTTCTCTTTTATTTTCTGTCAAAGTCTGTTTTACATGCCATTGGTCTAGCATTTGTTTCCAAAATGTTTCTTTGAATGTCAAGTTTATATCATTTTTACCATTTGTCTACTGAAGGTTGAGGTGGTATCTTTTTTTCCTCCTGCATTTTATTGCAATTTAAATTTTTTAATTTTTTTGCTATACATTTTAGTTGTTATAAGTGATTGCCTTTTGGATTATTATTAATGTTGTAGTTCATACACAATTCATTTGGTGTTAATACCAATTTATTTTCAATAGTAAACTGGAACTACAGCCTCATTTCCTCAGCCTCATTTTTTTTAATGTAAAAATAAGTTGGGAGTTCTGAAGTGAGAGATTCCCTTGCTCATCTTGAAGGATGAGACTGCCACAGACGGGGATAGCTGTGAGCAGGGAATACTAATGGGTCTCCAGTTACTAGAACTGATGCAGTTGGCCCTTGACCATGCCTTTGGACCTTTTGACTCTGATGGCATTGAGTCAATGCTTTAGTTGTCAGATTTTTGGAACTCTGAGCAGAGGAACCATCTACACCAGACCCAGATGTCTAACCTGAGGTAGTTTGAGACAGTATGCACCGTTTTAAGCTGCTAACATCACAGTGTGCTGTTATACCGCTAAATAAAAGGCAATAGTATTTTAAGGCACGTGCATTTTGTAGAGGAACGCTTGCATGTTCTCACAAGGCAGTGAGCAGTTTTCCGAATGGTTGAAAGTCTTCCTAATTGTCCTTTTTCTGAATTCATTTCACCCCTACCCCATTCCCAGAGCTTTTATGCTAAAACCTCTTTATGATGAGTTCTTTCCCCAACAGGCCACATCCTTAGCTATTTTCCACTTACGATAGCTTCAAGTCGATGAACCGTGTGATATTCATATGAGCCATAGGAAAAACACGTCTTGCTGTGTGTCTTAGGCACTGGCTGGCAGGAGCTGTATCTGCTGTGGGAATGCCAGGTGGGAGTTGACAGAAAAAACAGTAGCTTTAATATGGGAAATGAAGCCTCTGGCAGGGAAATATCCCTGTTTCTATTCCCATCTGCCATTTCCCCCGAAGATGGTATTGACCAAAGTCAGCCCAGTGTCAGAGACCCTGGTGGATGGAGTTTGTATAACATAGTGTTGATGTTTCAGAGTCAAGAGGGAATGAAAAAGAGAAGAGCCTAATTACAGGGTACACTGAGCATAATATTACCCAGGTCCATATATCCCCCATAAAACTGATCAAGTATAAGCCCCATGGCTGAGAGTTCTCAACTTTAGTTTTTGAAGCTACAAATTGTATTTCACAAGGCAAAAGTTATAGTTTATCATCTGCATATATCCTATGCAAATGAATATTTTAATTAATCTCTAACCATTTCCTTTTGCAGGAAAAAAGAACAATGCGAGTTCAGTACCGGAGGCATTAACAGAGTAGATGGGAGTTGTTTTAAAAATACATCATAATAGTTATAATCAGTGGACAATACATTTCCTCATCAAGAATATTCTATACAACTATAATAGCATCAGCATAGAGGAATATGGCGCTTTCATTTGCCTAACAATCCCATGATAATTAGTATGTTGGAGAGATGAACAGAATGAGGTGGTGATGTACACACTACCCCTTGTCTCCCAGCTCCAACTTCCCTTAGGAAACAGTCTTCCTGCATCTCAATTTCTTCAAATACAAATAAGAATGATAATGTTGATCTTTCAGGTGACCCTGAGCCATATGAGAAAATTCTGGAGAGCAGATTTAACTTACAAGTATTCTGGAAATGTAAAGTAGAAGTAGTTTGCGTGAGCAGAATGCATTCATTGCTGTTTTGATTTTTATCATCTTAAAATTAAAATGAAGCACAGAAACAAAAGGGAGGTGAGAAGGGAACTGAATCTTGCCCACTGTGGCCCAGGTAAGCCGCAGAATTTCTTGCCTTAGACATCCATTCAGTACGGGTCTAAGGCCCAAAGAGCGTTTGTTGGTCGGTGTGTTCAGATCCTCTCCCGACAGCAGAAGAAGTTCAGCTTGCACTTTCCTGCAATCTTCTCAGTATCCAGACATGCCTTCCTGCATTTCCCCCGACCGAGCCTGCATGTCTCACACACAGCAAATTCACCTGCGCCAGGGAAGAGCTGCTGAGATGTTCGCTGCAACTTTCTGGGAATGGGAAGAATATCTAAGGCCACCTAAACAGGCGTATGGTTTGCATGTGTGCTTATGGAGAGCATTTTCTAGAATTAGCCCAGAGGCTTTGGAGATGTCTCAGTTGGTCAAGTGCTTATTGTGTAGGCATGAAGACCTGAGTCTGATCCTGGGCTGGATCTGAGCTAGGGAGGCAGAAAAAATTGGATCTTGGAAACTCAGTGGTCAACCTGAGTTTCAAAACACAAGGTGGATGGATCCTGGGGAATGACATCTAAGTTCCACCTCTGGCCTCCACACATATATGAACACACACACACACACACACACACACACACACACACACACACACACAAAAAGCACAACCCCATAGCTTCTGTACTACACAGTGTGGAGTTGAAAAAAGTTAAAAGCAGAGGCAATCATCATCCATGTCCCTCAGGTGTTTATTGTCTTTCATGGTTCTAGTATAAGTGACAGAATAGTATCCGTTTTTCAGAACTGTTAAATGCACATATGATACTACTGAAAATTTACTAGATGAAAACAAGAGGAATAGCTTGTGGTTTCAAATCCTTGAAGCTGGAATGAAAAATTTTAGTTTCAATTCTTGTTTGAGCCTAGTAATGGCTGTGTAGTTTCAATTTTCAATATTTCAAAAAATCAAATTTTTTGATTTACCTCACCCTATTCAACTGAGGAACATACTAGAAATACCTGTTCACATTTTTAATTTGCCTAGTGGCCAAACAAATTAACTGTGTGATAATGTTTGTGCTGTTGAGTATTTATTTGTAAGGGTACTTTAATGATTAAATGGCATAATCCATGTGTGTTTGTTAAGGTCTAGAGAAGTTAGTACTCCATGACTTCTGTATTTCTCACTCTGGAATATTGTCTGAATCTATCCAATTTAGTGTGTAACAAAGGTGACTTATCACTAAACTATCTTCATCATTCTACTTGATCCTCCTTAATCCAGCAGCATGCATCTGTGCAGACCTCATTCAGTTTAGGTTGTAAGACGAGGGAAGCCATGGTCTTTGGATAGTGCTACTTGGTGGGGGATGAGTTTGAACATAAGCACCATAAGTTAATAGGAAAGTCAATGGAAAAATCTAAATATGATCATGAACATAAAAGTAAGAGAAGTTGGAGCCAATGGACCAGAACTCAGTCCTTTCACAACTCCCTCCCCTTCTTGGCTTCATCAGTCAAAGATTGCTAACTAGGACTGTATCCCTAAGAAAAAGAGAGAAAGTACAGGTAAGTACAGGTAAGGGATATCAGTTACCTGCTGGAAATGACTGGGAATACTCAAGTCCTGCCCAGGACCCTAAATTTAAAGCAAAATACATGTTAGGAAAGAATATTAAAGCAAGAAATGACATTATATAAAACTTCTCCTACATGTGACATGATTCATGAGAGATTACCGATGTTATGGCTGCCATCTTTATTTGAGTCTTAAGATGAGCATTCCTGAACTAGGAAGACCAATATACAAAGCAAAAATAAAATAAAAATGAAAGCTCTATTCAGATGACTCTTAGGATACATTAGTACAGTTCCAAGAAATATCTGGGGAGAAATTTACTTCCAATTTCAGGGTGATACATGGAAGAGCCATTGGGTTTCATGATCTGCCCTATCACCCATCAAAACCTCATCAGCTTTTATTTATTTACCTGATGGCAGTTGGACTATAATGAAGAACAAAGCAAAAGCAAAATAAAACATTTCTCTGCTCAGTGCCATGTTTGAGGGAAGATTCTCCAGAACACAGGACCAGGACTTCTTTGAGGGGACAAGAAAGCATTTATATTTGAAAGTGGTGGGTTATGTTCTTGGTCAGTGAAGTGAATCAATAAAGAAGGCACAATTACATGCCCCATTTGCCAGGATCAAGAGCTGGAGCAGTGGGTTATAACCCTGGAGCCTGCAAAGTCTTTTTCCCCAACACCTGACCAGCCTGTAAATGGAGTGGATGTTTGTTCAAGAATGGTAAAACCCAGGGCTATGCACGCTTCTATTGCAGGAATCTAGGGGAGAGGATGATGATAGTTCTCCATATCTTCCTGAGGACCAAAGCACATCTATTGCCTTTGCAGCCTGGCCTGGGGATCTGGTATGATCCCAACACAGAAGTACTTTGAATGCTCATGCTGCTTACACAGAGCACTGGTGGGACTGGAAGGCAAATCCACAGATGTGCACAATTACCCTTCTCATTCTCATTGATGTATTTGTAAATGTTTTAGAAGAGTGTGAGGAGTAACAGCCCTTTTGCTAAGTTATCTTTGAATCCTGTGCCTGTCAGACATCACATCACAGACCAGTTATAACCACAGCTACCTTTAATAATTAAAAACATGGATACCAAAAGGAATATTCGTGTCACTCCCCAAAACTCTGTCCTGTTTATTGCCACCTTGATGCTTATAGTTACATGATGTTCTGGTCATCAGTCTTGGAGGCAGAGGTAAGCCTGGAGTCACAGGTTTGCAAACTAGCAACTCCAGAGACTGAGGCAGAAGCATCACAAGCTAACATCTTGTCTGGACTATTCATTGAATTCAGTGAGTTCAAGGCCTATATAACTTTCATGAGATTTTTATCTAAAATATGTAGAAAGAGGACTGTGGTAAAGTGTTTGCTTAGCATACACAGAGCCTTATATTAAATTCTCAGGGTTTCTCTCTCTCCCTCTCCCTCCCCCTCTCCACACACACACACACACACACACACACACACACACACACATGAAAAATGTAGACTATATAGTTAGAAAGATACCTACCAAGTAGACCACCTTAGATAAATTGATAATTTTTCAAACCTCAGCCTCCTTATCCTTAAAATTGGGTTAGAATTATGATATAAGCCTCATGGGACATTTGAGAACATTGCATATGGCATAGAAGTGCTTAGCAGAATGTCTAGTTATTATTATTACTATTACATTCATATTTCTATATAACCTTGAATAACTACTCTGTTAAAGTGAGCATAGTAATATGCCACCTAATGACATCTTCTATATTCATAGATCATCAGCCCTCATCAGAGAAGCTTCTTCTTGCATTATATGGTAGTTAATTAACACAGACCTCCAACACTGTACAATGTGCAAAGAGTGAAAGACTTTGGAGCTGTCAGCCCTTAACGGGAAATATTTTTTATCATACTCCTCCACTCAAGGATCAGGGCTCTATGTGGGAGAGGGGGTGGGAAGATTGTAAGCACTAGGAGTAGTAGTCAGCTTCAAGGGAATTGCTTCATACTCTCCAAGGCTGATGATACACATATGAACTCACAGAGACTGAAAGTGTGCCCAAATAAAGCACAGTTTAAGCCAGATAAAGCTCTAGCATATTGAACTGGAAGTGGGCACAAAGCTCAGTCCCAGATGAGAAGCTGTTTATTTGTAATTGATAGCTGCTGGAAGAGGGAAAATCAGTTTTTTTTTTCCACTGGGGTGACACTGGGTATATCAAGCACATTCCAGGACATGCCTTGTGCCCAGGGTAGTTGGTCAACGCAAATCAGACAGCATGAAGTTGACTGGGTAGTGGGGAGGATCTGGGAGGAGTTATGGGAGAGGAAAGAATATGGTCAAAAGATATTGTGTGAAATTTGAAAAAAAAAAAGAATGAAAACAAACAAAACAAAAAACCTCAGATAATGAAAGATAATGTAAGTAACACTTGAAATGGGCTGCATACAGCAAAGTCCAGAATTTAAAAACAAATAACAGAGTTCATGCTTAGGTTACTTCTTTGCCCAGTGTGGACAGCTCACAAAAATTGAATCTGGAGTTCAGAATCCACCTGATCACAGTGCATCAGTTCTTAACTGAAATACTGTCATATACTTACACTCCCACTATACCCAAGAGCTGGAGTCATTAAGGAACACAGTCAGGATTATCAATACAAATGAATGGACTCCAGATTTTTCTCCCATGACTTCTACACCCACTCATCCATCTCTGCCCACCTCTGTTCTCCTCTCATGCCAATTATCCCTCTTGGGAACTTTCCAGAACCATAAGAACAACAACCAACTGTAGGTTGAGTGACACCCACTGAGGCAGGTAGGCTCCATGCAGCAGGGCATGGGTTCACTCATTCTGATAAGCTTCACTGATCAAGACTCTGTTCAGTCTGGAGAAATGTATAAAGGTGGGTATTGCTGCATTTTCCCACGGACATTGTGCTGACCCCTCACAGACCTCCAGGTCATGAAGACAGTCTTCTTTCTCTTTGCTGTTCTCTTCTTTCTGGGTCCAGGTAAAGAAAATAAGCTTGTTTATAGGGAGGGTGATCTGAGGTGCTGGCCCAGACACAAAGTCTATCCTTCAAATGCCCAGGCGTGATCAATCCTAGTATGTAAGGATACCTTTAGTCTGTTGGCCTTGAAAGAGAACAGTTGTTGCAGAAGGTAACTTTCCTACAATGAATCACCTATTCATCAGTAATCATTTATTCATACATCGCATTTTTCCATTAGCACCTGTGAAAAGTTGTTTGAATAAGTTCAAGGACATCAAGAAAGGTGCTTTTTGATGCCTGGGTTTATGATTATTAACAAAAATATTGAACAAAAAAATTAAAAGGGGAATTAAAAATAAAAACCCAGATTTTTAAAAACGTGTTTTAAATATTGATTAAAATAGGGCATAAAGATATAGAAAAAGAAAGATGTGGAAAAAGAAAGTAATAGAGCTATGTATCCATGTCCATCACAGCGTCAGACAAAAGAGCACACTGGAGACTTCCATTTGTTAACTGCATATCTAAAAATCAAAGCTGTGTTGTAGACTCCTGATAATAAAATGTATTTAATTCTCCATAGCCAGTGCCTTTAAGAAAAAAAATTCTGTTCTACTTTTAATTTAGTGATATTCAGAGATATTTTTCTTTTTGGTTTGAAATATATCTGTATTTGGAGACAGAGACTCAGACAGGTGAGGGTTCTTTTCAGGGACATACAGACAAGGCAGTATTGGTACTCTGTGTTGCACAGTGAGAGCTGTGTGGGATATCCTTCTCACTTTAGAGTTCTCTATGTTTTCTCACACTTCTGGCAAGTTTGAAAAGATGTAACTATATCCTCCCCAAAATTAAGGCACAGGGACTCTTCCTAATTCCAGGGAGCTGAATAAAAGGACTTTGGGGAGTCAAAGAGAATCTAACATTACTCTGGGTATTAGGGATGTATCAGCCCATGTGTGTTGCTACTGTATGTGTCCCTGGTCTGTGTTGTGACAAATCCTTGTGAGTGGATTCTGCATCAGAATATGGAGATCTAGACCTTCAGTGGATGAGTGGTGTGTTATGCATCCTCCTGGCACTGATGTAAACATTGGAGGCTGATGAGAGGTATTAAGATCACTCATATGTATGATATAATTATCATAATGCAAAATAATCCAGTATAAAATTATTGTACCAAATGCACCACATGTGCAGAAACTCCATTTGAACCCATTAGAAAGCTATAGGCAAAGATGTTTTGTTCCAAAAACTGCTGGTTCATCACTGTGAATTGGATATGCCACAAGGACTCTTGGAGTCCTGAGTCTCTAGTCTGACATAGCCTTACTATGTTAGGAGAGCAGAGAAAGTATGGAATACTGCAGTGAAAGCCAGAGTTAAGGGGCTTTGAAATGTGGGTCACTTATACTTGTGAACTGGTATCCTCACAGTAGTTAACGGCTAGTATGTCTGAGAGCAGTCACCCTCTGGGTTGTAGGTTTTGCAAAAATTTGTATTAGCAGCTTCATGCATTCACATCACATGGAATCTCCATACATTGGATACCTCCACTGCACATACTTCAAGTCAGCAACACTTGAGATTTTGATCCTGGTAAGGTGGATTGGCTGTTTTAACAGGCAGTGGTCTGCTCTTGTGAATGCTATGGACAAGGTGCTAATGCAAGGACTAGAATCTCAAGAAAAATATTAAGTAACAGTTGCAGGGAGCTTGTTTCAACTACTCCCTCCAAGTGTCTGACTTTTACAGTGGCATCTTGGTGGAATGTGATAGAGAAATCAGATTCTTTCTCCACTTGGGTATTGTGATGGCCCATTAGAAATCCATAGACAAAGATGTTCTTTGGCTTCAATATGCCTGGGCCATCATTGTGAATTGGATATGCCACAGGCCTCTTTATTTTCTGACTACTCCACTAAACCTTTGTCCTATGTGTATAACTACCACTTTTAAGACCAATTGTGAGGCATCTCCCCATTCTCAGGTCTTGTTCTCAACTCTGACAGAGTAGCAATTTTTGAAAGTATGTTAGAGAAGTTCCTGGCTGTGAAAGTATTTATGAGTTGAGTTGGTATTTTTTTCCAGTAGATTTATATAAAATAATGTCAGCTTCTGTCTTCCAAAGTCCCAATCAAAACCACCTGGGTGTTATCTAGTTCTTTCTGCTCTTTCACCTTGTGGGTCGAAAGACAGAATATCACATAGAAAATAGTTCTGCTTGCTAGTAACTCATCTGCTGGAGGACTAAGGAACTTAGCCAGAGCATGAAAAGAGACTCTTGCTGATGTCATGTATCAATAATTAGCCACATTGGAAAAGAATTAATCCGGGTGGGGGGATTTCTTCTTTTGTGTAGCCAAGAATGCATTTTTCAGTGAGAAATGCAGCAAGCTTAATGGGAGATGCACGACTTATTGTCAAAAAAACGAAGAACTTATTGCTCTCTGTCATATGACTCTGAAGTGCTGCGCGATAGTT